TTGTGGGACACTCTTGTAGGAAACTCTTGTGGGACACTCTTGTAGGAAACTCTTGTGCGACACTATTATAGGACACTCTTGTGGGACACTCTTGTGGGACACTCATACGGGACATTCTTGTGGGACACTCTTGTAGGACACTCTTGTGGGACACTCTTATAGGACACTCTTGCGGGACACTCTTGTAGGAAACTCTTGTGGGATACTGTTGTAGGACACTCTTGTGGGTCACACTTGTAGGACACTCTTGCGGGACACTCTTACAGGACACTCTTGTGGGACACGCTTACGGGACGCTCTTGTAGGACACTCTTGTGGGACACTCTTATAGGGCTCTCTTGTGGGTCACTCTTACGGGACACTCTTGTCGGACACTCTTGTGGGACACTCTTGCAGGCCACTGTTGCGGGACACTCTTGTGGGTCGCTTGCAGGACACTCTTGTGGGACACTCTTGCGGGACACTCTTGTAGGACACTCTTGTGGGACACTCTTGTAGAAAATCTTGTGGGACACTCTTGTAGGAAACTCTTGTGGGACACTCTTGTAGGACACTCTTGTGGGACACTCTTGTGGGACACTCTTATAGGACACTCTTGTGGGACACTCTTGTGGGGCACTCATACGGGACACCCTTGTGGGACACTCTTGTAGGACACTCTTGTGGGATGAGTGAGAGTGAGTGTGGGTGAGAGTGGGTGTGAGTGTGAGTGAGAGTGAGTGTGAGTATGAGTGAGACTGAAGGTGAGTGTGAGCGCGTGTGGGTGAGTGTGAGAGTGAGTGTGGGAGAGTGAGTGAGTGTGAGAATGAGGGCGAGAGTGAGAGTGAGAGTGAGAGTGAGTGAATGAGAGTGAGTGTGAGTGTGAGCGTGAGTGAGTGAGAGTGAAGGTGGGCGCGAGTGAGTGTGGGAGAGAGTGAGTGAGTGTGAGTGTGAGTGCGAGTGAGAGTGAGTGTGGGTGATGGTAGGACACTCTTGTGGAACACTCTAACAGGACACTCTTGTGGGACACTCTTAAGGGACACTCTTGTGAGACAGTGAGACACTCTTGTGGGACACGGTTGCGGGACACTCTTGTGGGACTCTTGTGGGACTCTATCTCGGACACTCTTGTAGGACACTCTTGTGGGTCACTCGGGGCACCACAAATCATCCCGCTCACCAGCGACACGCTGCGCGTACGCCAGCATGTTTCGCGCTCCCCAGTGGCACACCGCCACGCAAACGCACTTTCCACCAAGGCCGCGCTAATCCTAATGGCACTGCGACATCACGAACGTCGCGTCGCCACACGGCCTGTCCAGACACTAGAAGCAAACATGTCACACGATACCACAAATCATCCCGCTCACCAGCGACGTGCCGCGTTTACGCCAGCCTTTTCGCGCTCCCCAGTGGCACGGCGCCACGCAAACACACTTCCCACCCAGGCTGCGCAAATCCCAATGGCACTGCAACATCACGAACGGCGTGTCGCCGCACGGTCTGCCCACACCGAAGCAAACATATCACAGATACCAATCATCCCGCTCACCAGCGGCCGCGTCTACGCCAGCATGTTTCGCGCTTCCCAGTGGCACGGCGCCACGCAAACGCACTCTCCACCAAGGCCGCGCGAACCCCAATGGCACTGCAACATCCCGAACGTAGTTTCGCCACACGGTCTGCCCATACACTAGAAGCTGGGACACTCTTGCGGGACACTCTTGTAAGACACTCTTGTAGGACACTCTTGTGGGACACTCTTGTGGGACACTCTTGTAGGAAACTCTTGTGGGGCACTCTTATAGGACACTGTTGTGGGACACTCTTGTGGGACACTCATACGGGACACTCTTGTGGAACACTCTTGTAGGACACTCTTGTGGGACACTCTCGTGGGACACTCTTGCGGGACACCCTTGTAGGAAACTCTTGTGGGATACTCTTGTAGGACACTCTTGCGGGACAGTCTTGTGGGACACTCTTGTAGGAAACTCTTATGGGACACTCTTGTAGGACACTCTTGTGGGACACTCTTGCGGGACACTCTTGTAGGACACTCTTGTAGGACACTCTTGCGGGAGGCTCTTCTAGGACACTCTTGTAGGAAACTCTGTCTGGGACACTCTTGTAGGACACTCTTGCGGGTCACTCTTAGGCACTCTTGTGGGACACTCTTGATACCACAAATCATCCCGCTCACCAGCGACGCGCCGCGTTTACGCCGCCGCGCAAATCCCAATGGCACTGCGACATCACGAACGTCGCGTCGCCACACCGTCTGCCCAGACACTAGAAGCAAACATGTCACATGACACCACAAATCATCCCGCTCACCAGCGACACGCCGCGTTTACGCCAGCCTGTTTCGCGCTCCCCAGTGGCACGCCGCCACGCAAACACACTTCCCACCCAGGCCGCGCAAATCCCAATGGCACTGCAACATCACGAACGTCGTGTCGCCACAGCCACACGGTCTGCCCACACACTTGAAGCAAACATATCAGTGGTATCATGTGACATGTCTAGTGCCTGGGCAGACCGTGTGGCGACGAGACGTTCGTGATGCCGCAGCGCCATTGGGATTTGCGCGGCCTTGGTGGAAAGTGCGTTTGCGTGGCGCCACTGGGGAGCGCGAAACATGCTGGCGTAAACGCGGCGTGTCGCTGGTGAGCGGGATGATTTGTGGTATCAAACCATCCCGCTCACCAGCGACGCACCGCGTTTACACCAGTGTGTTTCGCGCCGCGCACATGCCAATGGCACTGCGACATCACGAACGTCGCGTCGCCACACGGTCTGCCCACACACTAGAAGCAGTCACGCGAGCGTTTCGTACGAGACTTCCTCTAAAAGTCACGCTTCGAGGCCGCAAGACGAGCGTTTCGTACGAGACTTCCTCCGAAAGTCACGCGTCAAGTCTCCAAAACGAGCGTTTCGTACGAGACTTCCTCCAAAAGTCACACGTCAGGTCTCCAAAACGAGCGTTTCGTACGAGACTTCCTCAAAAAGTCACGCGTCAAGTCTCCAAAACGAGCGTTTCGTACAAGACTTCCTCAAAAACTCACATGACGCAGCCCTGCCAAGCAGTTTCGCGAGTCCAGCCCCTCCAAACAACACCCGCTCACACGCCAATCCCAATGTGACAGCGACATTCACCTCTACCACAACTCACAACCTTACGATTCCCTGCGCCTGCCACGAATCTTTCCGCGTCCACACGTCTAACGCGCACAAAGTACTGCGCCTGCCACGAAATGTCACCTCCGTCACACCTCGCAACCTCACGATTTCCTGCGCCTGCCACGAAAATCACACTTCCACACCTCAAAACCCGCACAAAGTACCGCGCCTGCCACGAAAAGTGACAATATCATCTCATGTGAGCTTCAACAAATATTGCACCACACCACACGTTTGGAATGATTTCGACCCGTCCTGAGCACACTCCCATCCACCAAAATCGCCATTTCAGCTGAGACTTGTCACGGAAAGAGAGCTTCGACGCAACACCCTGAAACGCAAACCCCAATGGCACGGACACGTCCAACACCCCAAAAGGCGCAGTGAACTCAACCTCCACACTTCAACATCTTACAATTTGCACATGTTTCCACGCTATTTGACACGAATCTGTCACGTCACGTTTTCATCCGAAACCCTCTCCAAAAGCTTCCCCCAATGGCAGCGGCCTTAGCGCCCTACTGCGAACGGTTGCGAACGGTTGCGGACGGTTGCGGACGCAGAGACAACTCGTCGCGAACAAGGCTCTACCCCCAGACCCCCAGAGTTAAACGAGAACCCTTCGCTACGCATTCGGGAACAGCAGACAGTTGCAGGGCGGTGCACCAGCCGTTTTTCCCGTGGTCTTGGAGCGGGGTGCCTATCTTAGTTCACATTCAACTACCCCACGTCAAAGTTGAAGACATGTCATGATTTGGTCTCGTGCCAAATGTGGTTTGAAGCTTGTTACCTGTCCATTCAAATGTCTTTCGTTCTCTCCATGTCTAAGTTCATGTTCGTTGCAACTGACTTGATCGTGGTCAATTCCCAGGCCATTCTCGCGCTATGAGGGGCCTGTGAGACATGTGCAGTGGAGCAGGTTGTTTCAACGCTGGAGCGCAAAGACCCAACAGCACTTGTTCCGAAATCAGCTTGGTGTTGTTCATGCCTTGTTCATGGATATCATGTTGCGGCCCATGTTGCATTCAAACGGGAGTATGATGTACGCATATAATTACCAAGCATGAAGGTGAAGGGTATATCGTCTGCTTACTGTTTTAGCATCTCGTGGACTAGGAGAACACGACATTGTCTTGTCAATACATATCACATATCTAGTACACACAGTCGTACGCATCCGTGCACATACCTACAAATCGTATTCAAGTGTTAGTCAGTTCAAAAGGTCTGGCGTTTCCTTCCACCGTGATTTAAACTCCTGTCACTGTCATGCCTTCACCTACATTATTCCAAGAACACCGCAAGACTGCGCGCTTCCACACTGCAAGTCGTACAAAGACAAAGCAATGGTCTTTTGCTCTATGAGTTTGACAAGGTGCTATTGCAACTCACCTTCCAATCTAAATGCACCCCGAAAGGCTTCATGCTCATTCCAACTGCCAAATCTTATTAGCTTTCCTTTGCCGACTCAACCTGCCAAGCCCATTGATCTGCTGCAAAGTGGCACGTTGAAATCCAAACCTATGCAGAGCTGGCAGCACATTGTTGGTCAACAAAGCAGGCTGAGAAAAAGAAGTGAAAACGGATTCCCTCTATGATACATGGCCAAGCCACATTGAGTAGTAGATCAAGAAGGGTAAGGTTGGTGCATGCTGCGATGAGTAGGATGTTGCGGACGCAATCCAAGTCATGATTGCGCCGCCTTCACCTCAGTGGGTTGACGCCATGTTAACAGTCTTGTAGAAGGGTCTTTGTGGAAGTAGATCTATAAGGCAGCTAAGGTCCTGTCTGATGCCTTCTTGCAGAATCTGTCCATTAGGCGCTTCTGCATATTTCATTACCTTCGTGGTGTCTTCCACATGTCCGTATGAGTATGTCAATGACCTTGCTTGGGACAATCTGCGTCTTGCCTGATCTGCATCGACAGGAGTGTAGTTCTGTCCAAAGGGTGCATGTATCTTGAAGATCGGAAAGAAGGCGTCAATCCCAAAGGTTCTGGACCTCGGCGGCTCAAAGTAGAGTGAACCCAAAGTGTAGCAGCTTATTGTTGAAGGCTGTCGTTTCTAGAAGTACCCATCCTGAGAGCATTGAACGGAAAGCTTGTTTATGAATCCTAGCTGCGGCTGAACCAAAACACTTGGCAATTAGAGCCAAAACTTGAATGTGTTGATCTTGATTAACCTTGATCAATAACACCTCTTAGCCTCTTAGCACAGAACTCATCAGTGACAATCAGCGTCACTCGCTGTCCAAACTCGCCAGCCTTGCGGAACACATGATGGTGGCAGAGATTGGATGAAAACGGTCAAGTTTGTGTGGGAAAGAAGAAAACCAAGCCGCAAGCCTGCATCATTTTCCGAAGGATTTGAGCAAAGCACATGGTTGTGCTTATCTCTCTTCCTTTGCTGCCTGTAGCTTGAGAAGGTGACAAAAGGCACAATACCAAAAAATGACTTTTCAGATAAACCACTCGTGCGTTGCTCCAACTCACGCGAAGGCATCCCATCCACATCCCATCCTAGCCTTCGTCAAACATATTGTAGGTCGTCTCGTGTGTGGGGAGTTCCACCAAAGAAGAGACCTGAACGCAATTGGCATTGGCATTCAGATCACTGATCCCAGAGCCATAGCCTTGGCTGGAGAACGAAGTGGAAGGAAACCTCCCAGTTCTTGACGTCGTTGCTTGAGGTACGTCACCTTCAATCTTCAGCACAAAGCCCAGGTTCAGCTTAAGCACTCCATTCAAGCATCGCAGTGAGCCTCTGGTGAGTCCTCCTTGAGTGCAAAAAAGTTTTGGGCCTCGGTTCGGGTTAAGAAGTAGCAAAGGATTCTGAAGGATAGGAAGTGGCAAAGCTTTGTGCCCTGCATCTGCTGCCTTTAGCTGCTCATCTGTGAGGGGGATGCCCATGGCATCACCTAGGAAAGTCTAAACTTCTCGAGCGCAGCAAGTGATTCAAAGAAACAACCAATGAAGGCAGGAAAGTGCGCCATATGCGCGTGGTATGCCCTTGGTATGCCTGTTGCTCGTTGAAGTAAGGATCTGGCGGTATTTCTGCCTGCAGTTCCATCCAAGAGGAAACATGGATGACATGATCCAGGCTGAAAGGTTGACTGAATATAATCCGAATATACGGACTGCGTCGAAGGGAATCAGCCGAGGCTCATGTCAGAGTCCGACATCATCTTCTTCTGATGCACGGTATTTCGACCAAGGAAGGTTTGTAGGCTGTAACCCTTGGCGGCAAGAAATCAAGACCATTCAATGTGTCACAAAATGCAAAGCAAACGCAGCTCTGGCTGCTGCAAACAGGTATATAATGTAACCTTGTAACATGTTGAAAATATGTATATGATGTTGGTAGTGCATATAAACAATACAGCATGATTGACATCATAGAAAAGTGACAGTATAGAAAATAATGTCATTTTGTGCTTCGATTGTGTTCATACAAGATTGTGCATACATTGGGTAGAACATGGTAGAACAACAGACTCGGGCATTGATACGTTGACGGCACAGTGAAAAAGAACCAAGCGACTTGCTTCTCACACTCATGAGATCTGCTATGGATATGTGCAGGGACCGTTGCGTTGACATCCAGCACGAACCGGTGCAATTCTCTCCCTTTTGCTACCAGGGATGGACAGAGCATGCTTCTCCCAACATGATTCAGAATCACAGTGAGTGGGCACGAGTCAGTCATAAGAAACACATCAATGTGGTGTGACTGACTCGTGCCAGCGAGAGGACCGAACAGACAGGCTTGTCTCCAGGACCGGGGGCAGATCAGCAAAGACCAAGCTGAAGAACCACGGCACAAGGGTGGAACGCAGAACCACATATGGGGAAGCAACCTGGACTGAAGCGCAGCATTGTCTGACAAGCGAAAAATAGTCACTCTGTCATCATGAGCCCACAATCCAAAGGCAAGAGGGCACGTTTCAGGATGCCTGCGGAATCAGAGGCCTACCAGTACCCGATGCCTGAGTCTAAATGGCCTTTGAACATCACCACATCAGATTTTGGAGAGAGACAATGGACAATTCTGGACGGCAGCAAGGGAGGAGCGAGAAACGGAATGTGCAGAGGGAATACCCGGACACCGCGGATGCCGTGCAACAAGCTTCAGAAACGCGGACACCGCGGATGCCCCACCTTGAGCGTCTTCACCAGGATCACCTGGAGGCACTTTGGCTTGGTGGGATGAATGTTCTGTTGCTGCATTCCAAGTCCAAGCGCTGCCAAGCTGCTGTTGGACGGCCTCCCATTTCCGCATTCTTCTCAGCCTCACGAGAATACGCAGTTCAGATTCTGTAAGCACTCGCTTGCTCAGACTGGAAGGCCTGAGAAAAGGCGGCATAGATCTTCTTGTGATCATGGCCTCCAGGAGTCTGGAAAGCCTGCCAAAGTAGTGCAAAAGTGAAGACAAAGCACGCGTCCAAGTCAATGTCCAAAACACAAAGAGAAAATTCTCATGAATTTGATAAACTCCAAAACAGATGTGCACAGCATCAGCTGCCCTTCAGCCTGTCGTTCACTTAGACTGTTCATCTTAGGGGAGCTGACCAGGGTCACCCAACCGGATCGGTCGTCTGACCAAGGTGGCTCGTGTTCCTTTTTGCGTCACCCATTTTTCGCTGGTGGGAGGGGATCAGGTGGCATGGGCTACTGTATCTCGGCTGCATCAACGTATGAGTCCTCGTAGCCGTAGAAACCTCCATGCGCCTCCAAGAGCTCGTCGTCACTCCAATGAGCAACCCGATCCAGAAGGCCATGTTTCTCAAAGATGTCCTGACAAAAATAACAAAAAACTTGAGAAAAGTCCGATTTGTTCTGCGCATCCTGGATAACTTCTTGCGTACAATAAAAGAATCACAACAAACTCTGGTGTGGAACTCTGGAGTCGCACTGTCATTTCAAGTGTTCAAAATTGTTTGACCGGCGGAGCAGAGCTGTGTGGATGCCTTCCGGATGAGGGCACCATCTGCCTTCATTGGTGAACAACCAGCAAACAGTGGAAGTGGTAAGTAGGACAAACAGGCGTTGTTCCATCATGTGAAGTGACCAATTTCTTCAAAACAAAGTACTTCACGAAATCCAAGTTGAAAGTTCCGAGACCTACTAGCGAGTTTTGATTTGGCACAACGAGACCTGCGAGTTTGCCTTGGCATGCCTTGACGGACAAAGTGCCATGCCTTGGCATGGAGTCGTTGGCAATCACCATCCACTGTATTCTCCAAAGCCTTGCACGTACCAGCGTGTTTGATGTGCTAGTGGCTGCTAGCGGAGTCCAACCAAAAGGACTCAAGTTACTGTTCATCTGTACATGCCTCGATCAGCTTGCCATCATGATCCTGCTCTATAAGCTCATTGAATTTGCCACCCCAAATCAGCTTGATGACATCAAAGCCAGCACCACGGAAGGTTCCTTCGTACTCTTGCATCACCTTGGAGTTGCCACGCACGGGCCCATCCAGGCGTTGGTAGTTGCAATTCACGATGAAGATCATGTTGTTCAGTCGCTCGCGCCCGGCCACGGAAATGGCGGTGATGGACTCGGGCTCGTCCATCTCACCATCGCCCACAAAGGCCCAAACGCGGCTCTTGGAGGTGTCGGTCAAGCCCCGCAAGTGCAAGTAGCGAAAGAAACGAGCTTGATAGACAGCACCTGTGTCAAAGGTATGCGTGCTTTCTTGTGTCCAACATTCGTATCATTTGCATGACTGCAGAGAATTATCACAAGTCTAAATGCACGGTTCGTCCAAAAAAATGTGGGTTTGATTCAGAAACAGTCCAAATAAGGAAAGAGCCCAAAGGACTAGACCATGCAAAACGGAAAGCGGAAGAGTGATGTGCGGTCAAGTTCAGTCGCACCTAGAGGTCCCAGGCCCATGGAGACTGTGGGATTCTCCCAGAACTTGGGCATCAAGCGAGGATGAGGATAACTGGAAACACCTTTGCCAGCAGATTCCCGTCGAAAGTTCATGAGTTCATCTATGCCGAGCCGACCTTCCACGAAGGCTCTGGAATAGGCTCCAGGGGCTGCATGACCCTGCATCCAGACACTATCACCTCGACCGTTGCCAAAGTCCTTACCGCGAAAGAAGTGATTCATTCCCACCTCAATGACATCACAAATGGATGCGAAGGTGCCAATGTGACCTCCAACACCACCACCACGTCGGTTTCCATCACTGACCATGACCGCTGCATTCCATCGAATGATGTTGGACAAACGCTCCTCCATGCTACGGTCACCGGGGTAGTCCGGCTCTCCAGAGGTGGGGATGGTGTTCACCATTGGTGTGATCACTGGCTGAGGAATGTGCACTCCAAGTCGTGCAGCCTCTTCCATCAGGTCATGCAACAAGAACCGGGCGCGTGTTGGGCCCAGCTTTGCCACAACAGCATCCAGAGACTCAAGCCACTCTTCAGTCTCAGACTCATCAAAACGCGGCCGAGCTGCTTTGATTTGCTGGTGGTTCGAAGGAAAGTGTCCAGTATGCTGATGCATGAAGGCTAGTGAAGCTGAGAATGAAGGCATCTCACCTTGCAAACCTTTGGCAAATTCACCATATGTGATGATGCCTGAGTTGTCCAGGTCGAAATGTGCAAACAGAGACTCACTCTCCGAGTCGTTGAGCTTCAAGCCCACACTGGCCATCGTCTCTCGAAACTCCTCAGGATCCAATCCTTTGGACACATTTTGGTCGGCCTTCGCAAACCACGTGGCGGAAAGGGATGATAGAGTGGTCACGCCTTCTTTGGCAAAGATTGAGCTGAGCTCTGTGAGAAGATCATGGGGCGAACGTGTTCCCACGTTTGAAATCCCAACCCCTGAGGGAATGCCACCATGTCGCCAATGCAAGGCACCTCTCGTACATGGCGGCAGCGCACGCAGCGCCCGAAGACCACGGCCACGGAAAGCGGCCAACATCTGCGCGCTGGAGCAGCGCAGTTCTTGAGCCAAAGGCTAGGTTTAGAATGCCACATTCGATGATGCACATCAGATCTGATAGCACTGGTTAATACACAAGAACTGATGCTGTTCAATATGCACCGCAAAGCATTCAAATCTGTTGGGTGCGTTTGTGCGTGCCATGCTTGATTCCAACTTCTTGCCACTTTTGCTGTCACTGACAACTGCTGAGGGTAAAGTGCATCAGCAGCTGCAACGCCGGCCACATATCCACTAGACCAGCAGCCTTGAAAGTTAAATCCTCCTGTGATTCCATCAACATCAACGGCCTCTCCTGCAAAATGAACCCCGGGACAGGTCTTTGACTCCATTCTGTTCCAATCCAAGCCTTCTGACCAGCTCACACCACCAGCAGTAACAAATTCCTCCTTGTTCAAACGGCGGCCATCGACAGCAATTTGATAGCAGGTCACCTGCGTAAACATTGCTCTTCCAAGAACTTTTGCTGCTTCTGAACTTCTAAAGAGCTTCCAAGGCCACTGAGTCAAAGGCATCTTAGTTGACGCACATGTTTTACCACGTCTGAAGAGTGACAGCTGTCCAAAATGATTTGTCAGCTCACCCTGAGAATCTGCATCTCGTAGAAGTTGTTGCCACAGGCGGGCAGGAAGTACACCAGGCCATGGTGATACGTCACCCACAGCCTTTCTGCGCACTGGAGGTTGATTCACTCGACCCCCAGGGACATCCATGATTGATTGTGCCATGTCTTTCTGAGTCAAGTGGGGAGCCCAATCAACATTCAAGACTGCCTTGTAATCTAGTTCCTGGAAAGCATATGCGGCCCATGCAGACAGCCGAAGGATTGCTGGACCTGAGATTCCACCATGTGTTATGAGAACAGCTCCTCGAGAGTCAGCGTGGTCGAGGACCTGCACTCGAGCATCTGGCACGGACAGTCCCTCCATACCTTGAAACTTCGGTGCTGTGGTTCTTGCGAATTGTAAAGAAAACAGGGACGGTGCCACTGGGCAAATCGTGGCGCCTGCATCTTGAAGCAATGCTTGGGCAGAGCGCTTCTGGGCAGATCCAGTGCAAATAAGAAGCCTCTTACACTCAATCTCGCTCGCACTCTGTGCGCCTTCCACAGTCACACCAAATCCAACAGGAGTTTGCCTCAATGTGAGGACCTTGGCATTTTCTAACACCTTTATACCTAGTGAACGAGCTGTTGACAAGAAGCAGTCAACTATGCTCTTGGATGTGTTGGACAATGGAAAGACTCTCCCATCTGCTTCTGTCTTCAATTTCACACCCTTGCTTTCAAACCACTGCATGGAATCTATTGCTCCATGCTTGACTCTCAAATGCTCCATGAGTTGAGCGCCTCTAGGATAGTTTTCCTTGAAAGAAGCACCACTTCGGTGCAAAACATTGCATCTTCCTCCACCAGATATGCTGACCTTGTGCAGCAGCTTGTTTGACTTTTCCAATATCAAAATGTCTGACTGATATCCATTGCACACAGCTCTTTCTGCACATGCAATCGCTGCGTAAAACCCAGATGCCCCACCACCAATCACACACACATCTGCAGCTATGGGTAGCTTCTGAACCAGCATGTGCTGTTCCTGAACCTGCACCGGGCTAGCTGCGGCATCTGCAGTGCTGTTCCTGTCTGCTTAATCACGGTTTTCAGGTCTCATGGAGCCTTGACTCTGGGAAACCGAAACTGACCGGATGGAATTGAAAAGGTCCAAGTCCTCCCCTTTTATGGAAACGATGTGTAGGGTTTCTAGGTAACGATGTTGCATCTGAGTGTACTGTAGTGGTCAATTTGAGCCAGCGTTGGAAAAAGAATTGATGCGGCTAGAAACATTTGACGAGTGAAATTCACCAATAAAACTGTGCCAGGACAGCCGTTGCACTTCGTTACAATGAGGCTTCCTCACTCATGTACAGGGTTCTGTGAATGTGGCAAGGTCAAATGCACACCTGAAGGAGTGAAGAAAGTTTGTCCCTGCCGTTTTGCTGATGATTCACACCTCTCGGTTGCTGAAAGCGTGTCGTGTGCGGAAATGCCACTTGTTGGTCCAAAAGCTTGGTTGTCTGCATGGAGCCATGTTTTGCACATCTATGCAAGGACGCTGGTTGCAAGGATCACAATCTAAAGTTGAAAGTTTTCATGTCCGGAGCTGTCTCTCTATATCTGGACTCTGGACCATCGAAACCAGCAAGTTGAGGCTATCTTACTTATATAAATTGACGGGGCTTAGGAGCAGCCAAACCAAACAGACAAATTTAAGACGTGCCAGGCACTTTGACACTTGCGGGGAAGTCAAAGTATCAAACAAAAATAGCATGCTACGAAACAGCCGAGGTAACCCGAAACTGTACCAAAAACAGGCCAGAACAATGAGCGAACATGCTGCAGGGTAAAGCTGCATGAGGTTTGCAAAGGTTCCAGAAGGGATCTTCTGTGTGGAAAAACCAAAGACTTGAGAGCAAGAGAAGGCAAGGAAGTGACTTTGGGATTTGATTACACTAGTATACAGTATACAGCATATAATACTGTAAGTCATATAAGGCTATGTGAGGCGAGGTTATCAAAAAAGATATTGATATTGTGAGATGAGAGCTAAAGTCACTAGAGTAAAACAAACAAGGTGGTCTGACGTGACATATGCGAGGCACGTTCTGAAGTTGAAACTTGTAACTACGCAGGCTGGATGCAATAGGACTGTGCAAGCCACCGTGGCTCCACAAAGTGCAAAGTAAGGTGCAGCTCCATGAAAAGACCAGCCAACGTCAGGAAACATGGAAGAAGCTACCAAGCATTCTAGTCATCACAGAACCGAAAGGAACATCAGCAACCAAGCAGACAACCAACAGAAGGCACAAAACAAACGGATGGATGCAACGTGCTTGCCCAGCTCTTTTGCGCGCGTTGCTGCCGACTGCTCGTCTTGCTTCTGTAAACTAGAAAGTCATATGAGTGTGTGAGCCTGCCAATTCAACGTTGTGGAGCCTGCTTCAATCATTGGTTGCATCAATCAGCTCTTCGACTCGGAATGTCTCCGAATGTCAGAATGACTTTGCCGACGGCTCGTCGACTCTTTTGTCTTTCAAGGGCGAGTTCAATAGAACCTGGCTGTGTCAGATCGTGCACAGAGTCAATGGCTACTTTGTTCAGAGCGGACTCGAAGAATCGGTTCAGTCTCAGCATCAAGGGCTTGGAGGGAGATAAAAGGAACCAATCGTATCCTTTTCGCTGCACACGGACATTGAAAATGCGAGTAAACATGTCAGCACCTGCTCTAAGTTGATCCATAAAGTCCGGACACGGTCCAATTGCAACGTACGTCCCATGGGCCTTGAGTGTTGGCCTCAGGACTGGCTCGTAGTTCGGATCCTCTGGAGCATTGCTGGACACGGTGTCATAGATCATGTCAAAACGTTGGCCAATCGAAATCAACGAGTCCATGTCAACCTGACTCTTGTAATCCACAACAGTAACGCTCGAGTACAACTGCTTTACAAAGTCTGTGTTTCGGCTCCCACATATGCCAGTAACATTTGCTCCCATCGCACCCGCCAGGCTAACTCCAAATTGACCGCAGCCACCTGACGCTCCCACCACAAGAACTTGCTGTCCAGGTTGAATCGGATTTCGCTCATAGGCCTGCATGGAGGTCAGACCTGCAACCCCCAATCCAGCTGCTTCCCCATATGTCAGCCGGCCGGGTACAGGGACAGTCCAATGGCATGGCAGAACTGCATACTCTCCAGCCACACCAATCGACATACCCCACACATCGTCTCCTACTTTCACATCGCACGCGCTTGATTTGCCAACTGACAATACCACTCCAGATACATCGTACCCAACTGGCCACTGTCTCAAATGTCTCAAGAATGGCCAAGCAGCTGGAATCATGGGATGTTTGAAATTAGATGGGTTCACTGAAACTGCTTTCACGCGGATCAGCATTGACAAATCTGAATGATGAGGGACTGGAACTTCGGCCGTTTCCCAGCCAACATTGTAGCCATTCAGTGTGTATATTGCGGCGCGCATCGAAGAATGCCCTGTGATGGCAGCCGAATCATATGTCAAACTTGTCAAGTGCCACGTAGAACCTCTAAGCGCATCGAAGCTTGCCACCAACCCGGCCGCTAGCACAGCAAAGCAAGACAAACAAACAAGCCTGTTGTAGCAACAACACAAGGTTGCCAGAAGCACAGAAGACTCCACTACGGCCAGGATAATTGGCAACATAGCCACAGCTCAGCCTTGAGAATGCTTGCTGTCAGAATTCAACCTACCATGCTATAGCTTCTTGTCATGATTCTTCCAGAATCCTGATCGCAAAACACATGACCCAAATAGGCAACGAGGAAGCAATGCCTACTATATATGAGATGCCACATGCGTCTTGTTCTGTCAACAGCTGCTCTTGCGCCCAAACTTCTGCCAATATGCATGACGTGGCACTTCGCACAACGGCAAGCGGAGGAGATGCTACTGTACTCCACAACTCGTCCAAAACTCACAGGTACGGTACATCCATGTGTGCTTATCAAAGTGCAAACAAACCCTCATGCAAACCGCGTGTCATTCTTGTAGATCCAAACCAGTGCAAATCAACTAATGCAAATCAAGCACCTTTTAAAGAAAGGAAAGGAAAGGAACTGCACAGGCTGGACCAACAAAATGGGCAACTAGCCGGGACAGCCCCGCTCGGCATTACAATGGGGCAAACGCTCTGATGTTTATGCTTCCCATATGTTGCATTGTCATGGTCTTCTTTCATTGTCTTCGATCATGTATATACAAATGTTGAAATGAAAAAATAGGGTCACCTGACACACATCTTATGTTCCACCGACAGCCTGTCTGTCTTTTTGACTCACACAGAACACGTGCAAGCAGCAACAAGCTGCATGAAACAAGTTTTGTCAAGACAGCTTGCACCAAGTTGAACCTGGAGTCCTGGAGCTTGACCACTTTGGATAGATTTGTGCTACACTTTGGAGAGATTGCTCGGCTTCACTTGAACTGTGCCGTCCTTATTTGCAAACAGGTCCCAAACATGGTTGGGAGTGCAGTACGAAACGACTATATTCAGGCTTGGGTGCACAAGCAAGTTGCAATCGACCTGCTGCTACAAACATTCCCTGCTGCCAGCAGTTCAATCAAGGAAATGAATCAGTGTCTGACTTTGCATCCAACTTGGGCAAATACTGAATACAACTGCTGAACGAGCATCATTGCCATCAAGCTCGATGGCAAATTTTCCAGTGCTTGCCACAAGCGTACGCAAAACTCCGATCTTGCCATTCAGCTTCTCATCATCTAAGCCATGCAACTTTACCTGTCAGCATCCAGTTGGAGCGTTGAACCACTACTCCATAATCGATTCACTATGGTAGGTTTTTCATAGACTTTTTTGTGCAACTGCCATACTTTGGTGATAAGTAGCAGAACCACTTTCGCCTTGTCGCCAGCTCTCAACATCACAGGTTCCTCCGAACTCTCTATCTTTCCTGCTTGGTCTTCCTTCTTCTCTGCTTGGTCTTCCTTCAGACCAAACGGTCTTTGCTTTTCTGCCTATCAACTCCAAGCCAAGCAAAATTGCAAATTACAGAAATTGTGCATGATCAAAACGATCAATCATCAATGTCGATGATCAAAAACTGACAGAGTTGTCATCTGGTGCCAAGGAGGCCTCCTTTTCGATGGCAGAGAAGTCCCACCCATCCTCTGCTTGGACAGTGTCTGTTGGACAACGGCAGGTGAGAAGTCCGATAGAAATTGACACCCCAGGAGTGCAAGTAGTGTTTCTAGCTCAGTTTCTTGCACTCTGCTAGTTCCATCTAGTTCCTGTATGGACAAGATTGAGTGTCCTGTTGTGACTCTTCAGTGTTTTTCAGTGGGAGGCATTCATGCCTTCTCAACATACTACCTCCGAATCTATTTCTTTTTGCAAACGCGCAACGTACTCTTGAAGTCTTCCAACGACTGGATACCTTGCAGTGAAGTGTTTGTACCAGCCAGCGAGCGCAGTGCGCTGCTCATCAGTAAATTGCTCCAGGGTGAAGTCCAACTTGTTGGCCTTGAAGCAATGACTCAGTCTCAGTCTCTCCTAATCAATCACTTGCTTAAAACTCTCCAGGCAAGGCAATCCCTTCTTGTGAAGCGTCAGGGCGCATCTTCCGGCTTCAGTGAGAGGACGGCCAACGCATAGGTGGCATCTTTGCCAGCCCACAGCTTTCCATAGCCTTCTCCAACCTGGTCAGGTTCACGAGTCAGCTCCACGTGTTGTTCCACGTCTTCCCATCAAGATGGTTTAGAATCGTTTCTCACAGGAGGTTCTTCTCCGTTCAGAACCGTTGACTTGGCTCATGTTTACTTCGTGTTTACTTGTTAGTTCTAGTTTCCTTCTACACCTCCCGATGTTCCCCCTTGGAAAAAAATAGAAATCTAAAATATATATATATATACACATTATGTGTGTGTATTAATATACATATATATATATGCATATACATATACATATACATATATATATAGATCATACATGTTAATACTGTCCATTTGGATGATGGATCCATTTGGCAGCCATGCCTTGATGTTCTCACTGGAGGAGACATTGACCTGAGCACGAAAACGCAAACAGGACATGACGTGTCATGGGAGGTTCGTTGGTTTCGACTGTTCTGTACCAGCGCAAAAGTTCTTCAGATTTTATCTCCTTTGGTTTTTTCTTGAAATCACTCGACGGTTGAAGGCGAACACTGTATGTTCATGTACAAGAATCAAGCAACAACTTGGAAGGGCATGACACAACGCATATGTCCTGCCATGGCTGAACAACATACCTACACAGCAGCGCTGTGTCACGCAACGACTTTGGAGCAGACTCAAATCTGCACGCTGTGTGATACAGAAATAAAATACCACAACAGGCACAGCTGCTTTGGAGATAGATTCAGGGGCGTTGTTTGATGATGTTTAATCAGTTTTTGCGACGTTCAAGCAGTAAAACCATTGTAAATTACGAAGTTTGGAAATTGGTGAGTGAAAATGTCACTGTTAGCAACATGTTCAAAACTGCGTAGACATCGGTGCTTTTCAGCCAACCACCTCCACAACATCCAGGGTATGTAGAAAGAGTTGAAGGAACAGTGTCACCGCTATCAGCCACTGTCATTACGTTTGCTAAATTTCTTCAAGCATCCACCTTCCCACAAACTCCCATGAAGATCGGTCCAGTCTGTCCGTTGAACAGGCCGAGCAGGTCCAGGTTAAAAATGCCATCCTTTGCTTGACAAACAGAACAAGCTCTGATCACCGTGCAAAAGAGGCAGAATCACAACAAAATGATACAAAATGGCTGGAAGGCAAAATCCAGAAGCTGGTGGCAAAAGTGCTTGCTTTGATCGCTTTCGCTTCTGGAAAACATAGAAAAGAAGCACGAACAGCAAGCCCAGGAGAGATGTACTGGCCAGTAGAATTGGATTTCGGCCACCTCAAAAAACTCCAATCAAGTCTCACTGCACCTGTCTCTTTCCTTATGCCTCGAGCAAAGGACAAAAATGCTCTGAAAGTGGGTGGCTTCGCGGTTTCACACTGTCCGAGTATGGAGAAAAAGTGAAAGTAAGTCACAAGCCCATTGCACTTCCAGCTGAGTCCATTCCTCAAAACAAGAAGAAATAAAGTTAAAGCTGGTCTAAGCGGGTGAGGTTGTAGTGCTCTGGCATCTGTGTCATTGAAGGAAGGCTAATGCATTCAAAATTCAAACCAGACTTTGGAGCTGCTTGCTGCAGCATTGAAACCAAACTCTGAATTGGGAATATGGAAGAACCTTAAACTAAATAACTAAGAACTGCTGTGACAGCTCTGTGTGTGGTGTTATCTTCAGCTCGCCCCTTGGACTTGGCACTGAGCCAAAACTGCCAGCGCTGAAAAATCTGAAAGAGCAAAGCCGAAGCAGGCCGAGCGGCATGTGTCGCTTGCCGTGAAAAGCACATCGAGTCGCCTCCGCAAGATGACCTGGAAAGTAAATCCTGAAACACTTTTCCTAGTAGCTACTTGCTCCTAGTAGTACGGCCAGGAGCCCCTAGTAGCGTCCTTGCTCCTAGTAGCGATGCCAGGAGCCCCTAGTAGCGTCCTTGCTCCTAGTAGCGATGCCAGGAGCCCCTAGTAGCTTCTTGTTCCTAGTAATTTGCCTGTTTTTTCCGCATCGCAAAAACTTCCAAAGGTGTGTCCAAGGCGAAGGAGAAAAAGGAAAGGCGCGGCCCGCTGCTTGGCACTTTTTCGACGCTGCGGAGCTTCCTGGTTTGCCATCTCCGCTCTCCAGCCTAGTCTCAATGGCGAATGCACCACGTCCGAGTCGTTTTCAGGTGTTCTCACAGACCAGTGGCTTGGTAGATGGGAACTCATGGAGACTCAGTCTTTAGGCGTGCCGACTACCTTGAACTCTCCTATCAACCTGCCAATATCGCGCCGAGTGACGCTGGCGTTCTTCGTCAAAAGCTTGAAAGCGGTCGCAAGCCTTCACACTGGCTGCATGATGGCTGATCGCTTGCTGCAAGCGCTTGCTGCAAGCGCTCGGCTTTTTCTGGGCAACACAACCCTCAGGCCTGCTTCAGACTGGCTTCCATTTCAGCCAGTCTCTCATCGGCTTCATGTGCCAAGGGAGCAGACCTCAACCCAACTAACATTGGGACCTAATTAAATGCTACTAGCGGCAAGTAGCTACTAGGAACAAGAAGCTACTAGGGGCTCCTGGCATCGCTACTAGGAGCAAGGACGCTACTAGGGCTCCTGGCCGTACTACTAGGAGCAAGTAGCTACGAGTAACAAGAAGCTACTAGGGGCTCCTGGCATCGCTACTAGGAGCAAGGACGCTACTAGGGGCTCCTGGCCTACTAGGAGCAAGTAGCTACGAGTAACAAGAAGCTACTAGGGGCTCCTGGCATCGCTACTAGGAGCAAGGACGCTACTAGGGGCTCCTGGCCTACTAGGAGCAAGTAGCTACTAGTAGGAAAAGTGTTTCAGGTGTTTTGTGTCCAAATGGCCCACAACGAGCCCCAGATTTGTCATCCCACATATAAAATAGCAGTCAAAACAGTTCTCCCCTTTACCTGCTCTTCAAAGAACTGCAAGTCTCAACACATCCGAAAATACTGATTTCAGCTAAGGCACAAAGTTTGTAAATCCAGGGAGTCGCGCCTTGTTGCAATCTCCAGTTTGAGACAACTTATACCCTTGGAACCTAGAACCACATCAAAGTAATAATTGAGGCACTGACAACAATTTCACATTCATTTGGGCATTGTCCAAATCTTGCTCCAGCTCCAGAACGCGGCTTTTCAGCTGTTCATTCCTTGTCAGCATCCATGTGTACTGTGTTTTGTCCGTTTGATGAACTTCTCTGGGCAACTGACCCAAGTACACGATCAATCTAAATTCTAGCATTGACAGAAGAAAAACATGAAAAAAAAGAAGAAAGGCCAATGAAAAGAGTGAGAAAAAGCAAAGCAGGTTAGCTTTCAACAAATATATATATATATATATATGTATATCCAGTATCTCTGATCAACTCGATTCAGCCAAGAAGCTCCAGCTCAAGCTCTGAAACTCGTGCAGCCAAGTCCTCACTTGGCATTCCACTCCAGGCAGTCAAAGTCTTCAAGTTAAAACCAAAACCACACGATCTCACGCCTTCGACGGCGGTTCAGAGTCCTTGCAAAGCATGGGCAGCGTGGCATGGGCAGCGTGGATGAATGAGTTGCTTTGCAAATTCTGGACCAGGCCTCCAGGAGTTCTGCAGCCAGGCGTTTGAGCTTGACCTGGAAAAGTCATTAGGTTGAAGATCAGCTTAAGCAATCGCAATCAAAACGATCACGTCCGCCATAACAGCGGCAAAGACAAATGACGCTATGTGTCAAAACGGTGCAGGCCTCCGCTGTATGTGACGGAGAACCAGGCAACACAAAGCCAGAAGTTTCCAAGCTCTCAGCCTGAGCGCAGGCCCGTGAACCAAGCAATTTTAAGCGTTCAAGAATCTAGGGAGGGGAATTCATTTAAAACGTTCTTTAATTTCTTGGTATGTCTCTTTAGGTCGGGTGAAGCGGGCATCAACGGACTTTCAGGTAATGAAATTAAGCACAGTAAAAGGCTAATCAATGGAAATATACTGTGTGAAATTAGAATATGCATTTGCTAGAAAATGTCAGGAATGAAAGGATTTACTGATTTACTCTAGACTCTAAAGGAAGTGCACTTATTTTGAAGGAAAACGTACGCATTTTACAAGAACATGCAGGGAACATGAAGGACAAAGAAAAGTAGTTTTATTATAAGGTTCTATTAAAGCAATGAAAAAAGAATGAGAGGAGTCTAAACGGAAATGCAAATATCTAGGAAAAGCATGAATTAAGAATCAAAGGATTTAGAAAGTGATCCATACAGAAAATATGCAAGGCCTTTTGAAAGAAATCACAGAAAAGCATGTTTGATTTTGAAAGGAAAATGAAAGGAAAATGACAAGAAAGTGAAAAGATTCTGAACAAGTTTAATAGAGCTAGAGAAAAGATTGCTTCCTTGAGGCCAGTAGGAAAGTCTCGAGATGTCATAAAGTCTGAAAGCGAACACATACAGTTCTGTCAGAAATGTAGAGCTATAGAGATCTTGTCATCTTGTCTATATATACACATTTCGATGGAAGTAGAGCTTAACTACTGTGTCTGTCCAGTGATAGGAAAAAGACTCTTGCTTATTCAACTTCCAACACTGCAGGAGCCATAAAGACAGTGCCATGGAAGATTGCGAGCATGTGCGAGGCGATACTATCATCCAATGTTGTGGGGCTTTGCAAATGTGGTACATGTTAGTCACTGTTGGGCTTGGAAGTAGTTGCATAGGATATCGTTTCTTGAGCCAGCCTGGTTTGCCTTTGATGCTTTTTGGTCCCGAAAGGAGGTGAATCAAACAAATAAGAAAAATTGAAAGGACTTGTGACTTGTACAAACAAAAACAAAGAAAAACTGAAAGGTATGAAGAAATGGAAGGAATATGACGGATTCCGGACAATGAAAAGGGTTCTAAAGCAAGGCCATAAAGAAATGTAAGGGATTCAAGGCAACGGGCTTTGAAGGCTGCATCCCGCAGAAGCAAAAGTCGTATGCATGTATTTGCTAGCGGGCTCAGAACCGCGCTAGTAGTCGTGCACTTTTTATAAAAGCACCCATAATGTCTCTGATGTTGTGAAGTTGGCACCTTTGCTTTTTTACTGTAAATAAGAGCGTTCTCTGATGTTCCTCCATAGCAACATCTTATTGCATTGCATGTGTTCACGCTGCCTTTGTTGTTCTTTGCTGAAGTTCCATTCTGCTTCGGATTTTTGTGCTCATTCTTCGGGAATGTCCATATTTTGCCACTGAAGAATCTAATCGACATGTTCCGCCTTATCTAATGTTTCATTTCACGCAATCTTCTCTCATCCTGCGTATCACCTGCATCTTCGTCCTTTGGGTGGGGGGGTGGAGGGGTGGCCACCGTCCGGTGCATCGATAGTGCCATCTCCAGCAACCATGTAAGGGGTAAGGATGTATGCGTTCTGTGATGGCCCCCATCCACTTTGTTTCATTTTGCCAAATGCTCTTGACATCGTTTTCCTGACTATGCTCTCTTGGATACTGTTTGTTGGAGGTGGGAAAACAGCGGCAAGGATTTGATGCTTTGTACAGGACACGCAGTTCCAAACCTTGTTGGACGCTGAAGCTCTCTTGCAAGAAAAATAGGCTGATCTTCAAATGTCCCAGAACTATGCTTGGCTAGGATTTTTGAAATGTGCCGCGAAATAGCAAAATGCCCTTGAACTGTCCCAAAAAAATGCATGTTTAAGGGACGAATTTGGATTCTGGATGAAAATGCATAGTTCGCCGCAGCCAAACACAAAATTGAAGTGAAACACATTGTAAATGAGACGTGCAAGGCGCTTTTTTGGGAAGTCGAACGCTCCGAAACGCAGGTTTTAAGACATCCTTTAACCCACCAGTTCAAGATTGACGACATTAATCTAAAAATATTTCTTGTAAAAACGCAGGCGCAGTTGTCAGCCCGGCGGGATGTATTTGCAAAGAAATGGACGGCTGCTTTTCTTTGTTGGCTTGGCTGCTTTTTGCTACGAACAAGGCTGGAGAGATTGGAGGGAGTGCAGCGCCGCAGCGCCCCCCCCAGAAGCACAAAAGCAAAGAGGATAGTTACAACAGTACATAACTTGGCAGCCGACCTGCAGCAAAAGCACAAACACAATTGCAAGAGCCACCAAAAACTAAAAGCCCAAAGCCACCAAAAGCCAGAAACCAAAAGAAACTGTAAAACATATTAAACATATTATCAATAAAACCCTGAAATCATCGCCCTACAACTTTACTGGGAAAGGATGTGGCCAATACTGCCAATTGTGATCTGTTACTCAGGCGATCGCCTGCAGCAGGCTCGTGAGCGACGGTTGACCGCCGGCAAGTCGAGCTATTGCCGCAGGTGTCTTCCCCTGCCTCGGTCGGTCCGACGGGATCCGGGCATCCGATCGGCCACCGTCTCTGAGGCCATGGCCGATCACGGGCAAAGAGATCCGACCCACGGCTGACCAAAAGCAGCACTGCTTTGGCCTGATATAGTTACAAATGACCATGACAAACCCAAGTGTAACTTCAACATACTTCAACTCTAGACGGTCTGGCAAACAAGTAAATTGTTTAGCCATACATGCTTTGCTTGAACAGCCCTGATTCAAACATGCTGACCTTCCGAACATCACACCCTTCAAGCGCTGCAGTGGCAGCTGCGATGTGCAAAGGCGTGACCTTGGCGAAAAATCAACGCTGCTTTCCTCCAGCTTGGGGCATAGCTCTTGCTTGGGCAAATCTGTCCACACGACATCCCTAGAAGGCCGTTTTCATGAGTCTTCGCAAGCACCTGACCCCAAAGTTGTTCGCTGCAGAGGGGTCAGCTGTCGCCTGAGTGGAAAGAGATGGATGTACTGGACATCGACATCTTTAGCCTTGGTATCCGTCTGGTGTCCCAGTGTTGATCCGTGCCGAAAGCAAGCCCAGCCCATAAACCAAAAGGATCCAAGTTTGGTTTGGTTCCAACCTGAAGCAAGAGCTCCACCGTCTGCAGCTGCTGATAGCAACAGGCCAAGTGCAATGGTGTATCCGCTTCGTCCTCAAGTCTGTCAGCTTCTGCACAAAGCGTTCTCTTCCAAATTTCAAGTACCGCGAGTATGATTTGAGGAGTAAGTGCACCTGTTTCAGGAGCTGCTAACAGCTTCTCCACTCCGATTCCGCCAAGAAACGGTAAGGACCGTCGGGCTTGCATGGGCATTCAACCTCGCAGTCCGATATGCGGCATGAAGTTCAACCCACCAACTT